ACAATAATCACAGGAAATTCATGATAATTTTCTGTTTTTACAACATCACCATATGTTCTTCCCATATGTTCTTCGTGTAGTTATGCATAGTTTGCCAAAATCTATTAAATTCCAATTTTATATGAGGAGCAACTCCCTAGTTTTTTTTCATCATGTCACTGTTTATTATTCATTATATTCCAAATAACACTTTTTCTTTTGGCTATCAACACATGTATATTCCAAATAACACAACTTCTATTTTCTTCACTAATTAACAAGATCACCCCCTCCTCGTCTACTCTCTAAAACCCTTTTTTTCCTTTTTCATTCAAATTATATCTTACATGTGAAAGTTCATGTTGTATAAAGAATAAAATACCAACCTACCCCATGTGCAGGAAAAACCTAGAATTTTTAATATAAAATGATATAAGGTAGAAAGTTACAACGATATTGAAATATACTAATTGCCAAATACTTATTAATGGTCCAAATATATGAGCCTTGGAATTTCATTCTTCTCAATTACTGGATGTTACATAAATTTATTCCAACTTTATGTTAATTTATTAGATGTTACTTATCAAGAATTTGATTATTTCAGCAAATATACATTGAAACTAGCTGTTAATTAAAATACTAATTGATTAAACAACAGATATCCAATTACTAGAATGCTCACATGAATTACCGATGCTTATATGTCATACATAAGATCACGAAAATTATAGTCAATGATAAAAAAGTCATACAAAGTTTGGTAAGGTAGAACAGAAATGGACTGGTTACCTGCAGGTTGAAGATTCTGAAGCACAACCAGGGGAAGAAGATTCTTAAACTACAATGGAAATCTATTTGTTCATATGAAGGCTGAAAACTTCCACAATCCATGTTTAACCTTCAGAAAAATTAGCACCTGAGTTAATGGCTTCCATTTCTCCTTATTTCTCAACCTCATGATTTTGTTGGGTCCTCTGGCCCAACAAGTATCCTAGTGGGCCCTGGGAGGCCCAAATTACATTTCTAGATGAGCCTTAAGACCCGGTTTACCTAATAATTGGGCTGATGCAGCCCAAAAGGCCCAATCAGTTGGGCTATGGGCCCAAAAAGTATACGATGTTTCATTTCTCACTGTACCTCAAGGCCATTTTGCTCCTCCGATTGGGCTTCCAAAAGCCCAATTTATGGGCCTTTAGGCCCAAAAAATATTTTATCGACCCTTAGGCCCAAATGACCTATTTCTCAATCGGCCATGAGACCCAGTTGACTTAACAGTTTAGGCCCAGATAACTGATTGCTCTTTATGGTGCAAAAAATTTAAAATATAGTCAATAAGTCCAAAAAAAAAATTTTCCGACGGGCCACGCAGGCCCGCAGAGCCCAGTAGTTATTAATTAGCTACGAGAAATGCTCTATATAGTAATACACTTAGAGATAGAAAGCCCAGAGCTTATCAAAATAGTTTCTAACCTCTCAAATAGAGAAGAAATAACGTTTTCCCCTTTCTTTTCTTTTTTTTTTTCAAATTACATCAAATACAAATCCAATCAAATGTCTCTACACTATAAAAATGTGATAAAAATCTGATATTCATTATATCAGGCAACCGAAGCAAATTAAGCAGACATGCATAATAAATAATAATTTAAAAAGTAAATCCCTAGCATACAACTATACTCTAAGAAATAAATTTATATAAAATTTAAAATTTCAAAAATTAATAAAGCCCATTTACAAACCCCAAATAAAAATCTTAAAAATCTAATTAAAAGCCTCAAATTACTTAAAATGATTTAGTGACTGAAATACAAATAGAATTACATTTTTATAGAGCTTCACAAGCAGGACCACCAACTTTGGCACCTGTATATAAGGACGAGTGGAGAAAGGAAATCACCAAAACAGAAACGTGCCTAAACCAGCTTCTAACTTTCATTACCAAGATATCTAGCAACAATAATACCACCATCATTTGATCTGATATTACCAACATTGCACTTAGAAACCCTTGTTCGCCCCTTCTGCATACATTCTGTACTGGAGTGAATGACAACGTCATGTGGCACCCAACCTGCAATTTAATGCACTCTTACTCTAACTTGATATGGGAACCACATAAATCTTAGAATTATCGTTCGAAAGAATAGAAAAAAAAAAAATTGTGCGAATGGTGAAGAAGTGTAAAAGATGAAGAGCCTTGGATTGGGTTCAAGCGTACATCATCTAAACCTGATGTTTGGTGATTTCTAGAGAGTCATGAGATTCCTGATAATAAATATAATAAAAACAGATTCAAGATATTAGCAGAACATACCGCATTAACAAGATTGCATTGATACAGGATAATAACATAATCGGAAGCATAACATCTTCTTCAAATTCTTTTGGCAAAAATAGCAGAATAAACTAAAATATAATCAGAAGCAAATCACTGAATGAAAACATACAAGTTTAAGACATGCAGAAACACCATTACCGTATTCCCTACCCTTCACCCCTCCCCTAAAAAACGTAAATTTCTTATTAATTTGTTTCATAACGAGGTAGTTGGAACAGGATGACATCAACCCAAACAGGATAAGAGAATTCCATTAAAAGTCTAGAAAGTGCAACAAAACCATATAAAACTACAAAACTTTACCTCCTCAAAACAATTAGCTCAAAATGCCTGGTTGCAATTCAGCATCAGATCAAAAACCTACACTTGTCCCATGGCAATGCTACTTCTACTTCATTTCTCTACATTTAGACAATGTTCTTCAAAGTCCCAATAACACTACAAGTCATAAGCCAGGAGCCACGATCCACCACCCAACGGCGCGGAATTGGGGCTAAAAAGCGTCAAAAAATTAGAAAAGCGAAAGAAGCGTTCAGTTACCCACATTTCTCGTCTCCAGAGTCGGATCTGAGCGCTGGAGAGCCGTTCGGCGGCTAGAGTTTCGTCCGATGCCATCAGCCCTTCACCGGACGGTTAGGAGACGAACAAACAGCAAGAGGTGGAGAGGAAGTGGAGAGCAGAGAGAAATGAGAGACACAGGGAACGAGAGAGTAAAAGAGCAGATCGAGTATGAACAGGTTTTCCCACTCTCTGTCCCGTACGTCGCCGACAGTGATTTGGATTGAAGGCCTAAATATAATAATGGGCTCTAGTCAATAGTGGCAGTCTTTGCTTGTTGGGCCTAATGACTGCTACCTCATTTACGTGGGCTCCAACTATAAGCAGCCTTGTCTCTTCTGATTGGACCTCCTAAGCCCAGTACTAAGTCCTAGAATACTATTATCTTTTTTTTTTTTTATTAAACCTCAAATATATGAAAATTACATTGAATCTCGTTATTAATTTAAATAATTAATAGTAAATTTTTTTATTGAAAGTAAAAAATTTTAAATTCAAATTGTATTACATATATATAGGATAAGGTAAAGAATAGAAGAATATTTATTTTTTATTGTGTAATCAAAATTTGAAAAAGAAAAAAAGTCACATTAAATTTTTTATTAGTTCAAAATTAAGATACGGTTAGACTTCATCAAAAGAATTTTTCTCAATGTCTATCTCTTCATATTTAAAATTTTATTTAAAAAAATTAAATTTTTTCTATTTTAATAAGTACGATAAATTATTAGAATAATATTAATTTATGTGCTAATGTGATGAGTTAAGTCCTGGGAAATTTGAAATGAAGGAAAAGACACATAGCAACTTTATATTATTAGAAAAGGAAAGTGTACTTTACTTGATTATTGATAAATTTTTTATGAATGATTAATTATTTTGTGGCTTGCTCAAGATAAGACGGACCATAAAACATACAAAACCGATAATAAAACATGATTATACATTGATACAAAGAATAAAGGGAGGAAGGGACCTGGGGCAGAGCCAAAATTTTTTTTTTGGGGAGACGAGATAATTTTTTATATATTAATTTACAAAATTTTTAAATTTCAAATGTAGGCGAGATAATTTTTTATATATTAATTTACAAAAATTTTCAAATTTCATGGGGGCCAACGCCCCCCCTCCCTCCGCCACTAAAGGGACGAATCGGCCCTTTGGGTCTAAGGCTCATTCCATTTGCATTCATAGTTCAAGTAAATACATGTCTCGTGTATGCATATATGGAGCGTACCTCTACTCTTTTGAGGCAAAAATTCAATCCAAGAATCAAAACTCAAAATCTTGGCTCTGAATAATAAAACTATCAAAAAAGGGAAAAGAAAAAAGAATTTATATTTTGTGTTACTTGACTGTGATAAAGATGTTGCCTTATATATATGTCTAGGCAATTTTGCATTAATGATTTTTATGTTCTCTGGATTTTCTTCCATTTCTAGATACATATGGCATATTTTCCCTTTATGGTATGTGATTTGGCATATTTAATTAGAGTCTCAAATAACATTCATTTGGTAGGTAATGAGTTAAGGTTCTAAAGTTCACTGGACCTTATCTTCAACTTCAAATGTATTCATTTACCACTCAAAATGTACCCTGTATAACTCATGAGACATGAATAACAAATCATTTCCCGCGTGTTTGCACACCCATGTTTAGGCATAGACCGCGTGTTTATATATGTGTTTACTGCCTATGACTCAGTTAATGCTAACAATCTTCTGGCATAAGTTCATTAGAATTCCAATGTTGTCTCCATTAGAAGAAATTGATTTTCCTTGCATGATTAGTGAAATTGCTGTCTTGCAAAAGGATTCAATACATTAGAGTTGCAAATGAGTTTGGTTGTTTTCATCATTCCTCATAAATAAATGACAAACAACAACTCAAGTTACAGCCAATTAACAGATAATCATAGGAGAAAAGTGAGAAACTCTTCCATTCTTAGACTCTCTCATTTAATTTGGTTCTTAAGACTTTACAACCGTATATAGCATCTTTCATAGCATTTGTTCTTCCATATTTTCTATCTGAATTATCTAACATGAGGGTAAGGAAGAGACCTGACGCCAAAACTCGTTGCCTATATCCAGAAGATGTTGTTGCCTCCATAAGATCATCACCAAAGCCTCCATCTGAGCAGGAAGAGGGGGAAGTCTCTTCCAAACCAGCAGCAGTTAGTGAACCAGCAGAGGAAAAGGATCCTGAATTAGAGAGTAGAAAATATAAACACCTTGGATGGCCATCCTCCATAACCTTTTCATTCATCCAGACAAAAACACCAACGCAAGATTCCAGCACCATCCCTGACAACAATGGAGACGGTAATGAGGATGAAGTCCAGTCAAAGGGTGAAAAGAACAAGAAGAGGCTCTCAAAAACAATGGTGTTCTTCAGTGATTTCTATTTTCCTCGGATCCTTTTTTCCTGATAGTTCTTAATAATTTATTTTTATTTTTATTTGTTTTGCTATAATCCATTTTGGTGATGAAATGTTTGTCAATCAAATATATATTTTCAGCGTCTAATAGGTTTTTCATGACCATACTGTTTACCGATTTTTGTTTCTTGGGAATTTCTTTTTTCAGTTCATTGGTGGAGGAAGTGGATATGCTGAAGACGAGAAATATGAACAGTTTTATGATTGTAAAATGTAACTTTAGATTCTCAAACTCTTCTACATCTCTTTTTCTTAATGTCTTCCCTTCAGAAATTTTTCTCTCAGTCTCCTATCATCAGCTCAGAATTCAAAATGATTGATTAACAAACTGTCTTCCCTTCAGAAAATTTTCTCTTTCAGTCTTCTATGATCAGCTCAGAATTCAAAATGATTGATTAATAAACTTACTTTTGATGATCATGGAATAGGAGAAACTCTTATATTGCTTTTCCCAGTACCAAGGAGACATTATCTTCAGATTCCTCTCGTCAAGGTTTGTGGTCTTCTACCTCTTCTTTTTTTTCGTTTCGTCATTTTTCTTGTAGAGTTTAACCTGCTGTTTTTGAATTCATGGTTTTCGCACCATTAGAACATGAGAAATGTTATTTTCTTCAATTATGGGACATATGCACATCAATGGAAAACTATTGGCAGCAGCGTGCTTCATTATATGACATAGTATACCTTCATTATATGACATAGTATACCATATAATCAAATCAAGCAATCCCAAGAATACTTAACAACTATATTGAAAGACAATTAAGTTGTTATGTACTTAAAATCAAATAATTAAGTTGTTATGTACTTAACCCTTTTAGGAATAGGGAAAACTTAGTATTTATGCACAAACTTATGACTAAAACTTTGTCTAATGAAAGCAATTCCTATTAGAATCAGTACATATCTATGATTATTCACTTGCTCATTTATATATGGTAAAGGAAGAATCACGTGAAGATTTCTGTCTTATGTAGTCGATGTATAGGAAATAAAGGAAATCCTTTTATTGAGTAGAAAAAACAAACTGGTCAGATATATATTGAAAGAAACATCAAGAGATGCTGGTATCATATATATGGGTACTAATTTACTTCTGAGATACTCGATTCACAGGAAAAAATTTTCATTATTGATAGGAAATCTATAACAAGCATGTTACAAATGGAAATTTTAGTTAAAAGTTTTTACCATAGAAGGAAAAGTTTTTCTTTTGATACTTAGAAAGGCTTCAGTAAAAACTTCTGATAATAATGAAGTATGTCTATAAGAGAGAGATGCGAGCATAAAGTTTCTTCACCTAGTTTTCGTCCCTGCAGGAGCTGAAAATGGTTCAGAGAAACATATTTAAAATATTTGGACCATATATGTGCAGTGTTTTTGGCATGCTATTGAACTTGAGTGATGCTAACCTTTCGCTAATATTCTTATTTTTATTGCTGTTATATTTACTTTAGGTGATGTAACGGGGACATTCCTCCTGAATGATGAATATGGTGAAGAATCCGGTGACAGTGAAGAGAACTGTAAGACAAGAAGCTTGAAAAGCATTTACAAGAGCACCCAGAACCTGAATCCTGTCTATAATTCAAAGGAGGAAAATGAAATGCCCATTACTGGGCAGTGCAAGAAATTGAAAAGGATGTAAAGTGGAGAAACTAATAAGCAAGGTTGTTGCCGAGTCTGAAGAGGTTGATGTATATGCCATGAAATAATGTAAAGGGTTAGGTTTTAAGCTTCTGAAGCTAGAGCAAGATGATGATGAAATAAATAATTAGTCAAGGAATTATATGTTGATTAAACTTCATTAGACCTTGATAACAATGTTAATTGGATTTACATTTCGTGGTTTTTATGTGGCTCCTTAGCATGTTAAAGAAATATGGCTTTTTTTTTTTTTTTTTTTAAGAAATAGAATTATATTAATATATGAAAACTATAAGAATTAGAATTAACTCGAATAGGATAATAGTAAAAAATATTATATTTATAAATTGCATTTCAATACAAAATTAAATAATGTAATACTTACATAAATATTGTAATTAGTTCAAAATTTAATAGTTAAGTTGTATTCTAATATAATTAATTTATATAGGTTGAAAATAAATTGGTTGAAGCAAAAAAAAATTAGTTAAGATTTTGTTCTTAATTGTACCTTTAATAATTGAAATAAGTACAATAACTTATCTAAATTTAATCATTATTATGTTGAAGTTTCCATTTTTATCCGACAAAAATGAATTTTAATAAAAAA